TTGTTTCAACAAAAAATCTACAAAACGTAATTAAAAAACAGATAAGAAGAAATACTAATGTAAATTGGTTGGAAATATGTTAGATGAGGTTTTGTAAAGGGAACCGTATACTATTTTGTATAAAACACCAATGGAGAACATAGAATTTAAGACTTTAGATTTATCATTTACATGTCTGTTTTTGAATGCCGAAAAAATTTGAAAAAATCGCCTTAGCGCCTTTGTATCGCGATGCCAAGGCTATTAAATATGAAAAATATAAGGATATGGAGCAGTTATTACCTTATATACCTCCTATGCATCATGAATAGTTCAAAACACTGCCACATGAAGAGCATAAAAAAATTATACCAATATCTTAAGTTAAATTTAACAATATAATTAACGTAGATAAATATAATTAACGTTTAAAATAAAAAATACTACTCCTATTTTATTTCTTCTTATTATTTATGAACAAAATTGAATTTATACGAAATATATTTTAAGTGATATTTAATTTTTCAAAATTGAAATTAAATAATTTTTATAATTGACTAATTATGAAAGTGATGTAATTCCATTTGCAGACCGTAAATATATATTACTTTAGTTAAATTCGCCTAAAATTTATATGAACAAACTATATATTGATAAATTAGTAGAAACATTACTAGACCTGACATAATTAACCTATATTTTTTAATTGACAAATATGCTAATCTTTAATTTTTTCGAAACAACAGAAAATGGATTTGCACCACTTTCAAAATAAACAGTCCATATGTATGTACTCCACTCTAAAATATTTTATATATTATCGATAATATGCTTTTTTGAAACATAATGCCTATCTTTTAAACAAATCGGAAAATCTATCGAATTATTTTTTCCACCTTGCACTGCCCTTCTACCTCGTAAGTATTTTTGTAGATTTTCTTTTACCAATGTGGTATAATGGGGTTAATAATACTCAACAAGAACTTCTATTTTTAATTATATTTTAAATTTCTTAATGGTATAAACGGGGGCTCGAGATTTTCTGTGATGCACAGTGAACTGCGGGAAAGTGTCCCTTCGAACCCTTCAACAGACACCAGCCCATTGCGTAATTCAGCCTAGTTTCGAGGAACCATCCAGCTTTCCATCAATTTTCTTCGAAGCAAAAATAGATCTCGATGTAAGGTGATGCCATGAAAAATAAAGATTCCTCTCACATCAATGTCAAATGAAATTCGTTAAATAATTTCGTACCGATAGAATTTTGTTATGGGACAGTATACAATATATTGCTAAATGTAATAAGTAGAAAAATATTTTTTATGCCACTTTACGGTTTTTTTTAGAAAGTTAGTGTAGGAGAATTTAATAAAGAGTCGTTTTGCTGCTAGGTAAGTGTTTTATTTTCGTCGTATGCTGGTAGGCGAGTGCGTCAAAAACGCATTCTCGCTGTTTTATAGGGCGTGTCCCCTCTCCGTCGCCTCGGCCTTCACGTGTCCGTAGCCTTTTCGGCTGAGCTTCGGTCTAAACGCCTCAGCTTGGCGTCTAAGCATCCCCATCTGTGGCTGTTATCCTTGGACCTGGGCGATGTCTTCCTAAGTAGAACTCCAACGAAGGGCTTTCTCCCGTCAGAAGGCAATGGGCAGCGGTGAAAGTTGCCCATACATTGTATATATCTAGTGCACATAAATAAAAAATATATTTATAAAATTTTACATTTTTTAAACAAACTATTCTCCTTCCCATATTATAAATATTATTAGATAATATCCTGCACCAAAAAGTTAGATGCAAAGCAAGTATAGTAAAAATTTAGATGTGGGTAAAAAATGAGCCGGTGTCAGCTTGCCGCGTCCGCTCATCTACGGTCGGCTATTCGAAAGTGTAAACTGATACATGGATGAATACAGTACAAAATTAGTATGGTTCCTTGCTGTGGTTGCTGAGAGCAGACATACGACCAGAATGGTAAAAAAGCTTTGGTGGCTGAGAGTAGACATACGACCGCAAAGGGTTAAATCGTATACTTTTCAGACTTTATCTGGATAAAACACTTTCTACCCAACGTAGCTTAGGCAAAGATAAGTTTACAAATCCTAAGGTCTAAAAGAAAAGAACAACAGTTTTTAAAAAACTAAAATCTTTTATTAGCAATAAATTACAAAAGTATGAAAAGTGAATAAACTGCGAAATTTAATCTAAATTATGCTCGTTGCGAATTTTATCCAAATAAAACGTGTTTTGTCTAAAACTGTATAGGTTCGATTAAGACTAGGTATTGCGTGTAGAAGTTGATTTCACTGCTAATTTTTATAAGTTAAGGTCAAAATTTACTTTAATGATTTTAGTAGCCCTAAATCAACTTATTTTTTTCGGATTCAAAAAAACTAAAAAGAAAAAAGTTCCAAAACGCTGTATTTTAGCATCAATAAGACATGTAGACCAGGAGAACTTGAAAAATTAATGTCCCTTTACTAAGAGATAAAATTTGAAAAACCCCCAAAAAACGATGACAATATTCTAAGGCACGAAATGTTTATTAGTTTCACGATATTTACAAAAATTGTTGGTACTACTACATTGAACTCTGCCTGATCCATTGAACGAGCATGATTTTAATTAAATTTCGGACTTTATTCACGAATTGTCTTATATCGATAATCTTAAGTTTATCTGCATAATTTTAGGTTTAATTTCTCTCCTAATTTTACCCGTCACACGTATATTTCACAGATAGAAACGTCATCCAAATGGGAGCTTGTTTCATCCACTGTATATCCTTTTATTACATATGTATTTGTAATAGCTATTCATCTGTTTGTGATTTGTGGGCTAATACACCTTAGAAGAAAGATATCTAAAGGCATGAACTATGCATTCAGAGGTCCTTTCACTTCTGAATTTTTGTTATAAAATATACTGTATATACGAGGTCAAACTCTTATTTGACCATAAGAACGTTGCGAACATTTTTATTCATCCATACTTCCCGATATTTTGAATTAAATATAAATATTCCTTCTTCGAAACATCCTTATTATTCTGAGACATTTTTTATTTTTATTTCCATGTCTAATTAATCTACTATTTATGTTTTCTATATCTTTAATCTTTAGAATCTAGTGACAATGAAACATATCGTTATATTTTTCATCTTATTACATACCTCACTTGAATTGAAGTCTTTATCTACTTCAATGTTGGTTGTTGTAATACATGTATTTTTGCAGATTATTCGATATTTTTTAGAGCATTACAGATAAAAGGTAATATAATAAACTATATATAGTACTACTATAATATTATGCTACGCTATATAGCATTTACAAATCTCGTGACTCGTAGCAATCGCAACATTCCGTAAAATAGACAGAAAAAAGATGATATAAATGGAATTTTTTTTTCTTTTTAATATTACTAAGGAATATACATGTTTTCATCTCATACGCTAATGATTGTCAGTGCAGTCTGTGTGAGATAAAAAAATTAACAAATATACGTACAGGGTATACGTGTTAAGTCCTGTCACCATTTTTTAGGCTGTCTACATAATTTTCATACAAATTTTCAGATCCCCTTCATTAGCAGCAACCAGCCACACCAGAAATTCTAGACGTTTGTACAAAATTTTCGAGTTGAAGGTCATTTCAACGTCATAGTATAGTTGAATTCCCCTCGACGTCAGCAACAATCCTATGACATCAAAAACATATAGTACCATTTAAAAAAGTCAAGGTGACTTTGACCTTTTTACGTAAAAAACATTTTTTGAGATTTAAGAATATGAGATAGACCATCAAATACTAAAACAATTTCATCCGAAATATTTTTTAATTACTATCTATTTACTATCTATCTATAGTATTTAAATACTATCAGAAATGCCTAAAAAATGGTGACACAACTTACATGTCGCGCTAGTAACTTTTACAGGACGTATGTATGTATGTATACTATGGTAAAGTATATTTTTTATCATAACCCTTTATCGTAACCCTTTATGACAGAACGTTTTTGTGCTAGAGAAAACACGAAGAAATTTATTTACTTATTTATAAACACATTTGCATGTACGTTGTCCCTATTATGAATGACGATGTTTCATGCATTGCTCATACGCCACAATATTCAAGTAATAATAAAATACAAATAATTTCCAAATCATCTCCAAGTGCGTTAAAAGGTATTGTGGAAAACGATCTAACCAAAAATCAACTTTATCGAATTTAGACTTTATTTATTTAACAATAGGACTCTTAACTTTAATAGTGCTGACAAATAGTACTCTTTCGCCTCCTCAATCCTGGATAAACATATTCAGAAGCTTTATTAAGTATAATATTATTGTATTGGTTTCTGAACCGTTATGGATAAGGCATTCACATAAAGTCTGGTGTAATAATTTTATTATCAAAATCGAAAACATAATTGAAATACTTAATAAATTCTTAATAAAATTAAAAAAGATAATGAAAAAAATGAAAATAAATTATATCCTTAATTGAAGTTGGAATTTTTTACTAAAAACATTTTGTAAACTAAAAATGTTATAAATGTTTGAAGAACAGTATAATGCAGTTTTATTGTTTTAGCTTAAAAGAGTCAAAATGCAAAATAATATGAAATTAACATATTTATGGGTAATGAACAGAAATTAGAAAAATTAGTCTTATTGGTTTCAAAGTCATTGAAATAAAAATTTGGAATCAGTCATTAAAATTAAATGCATAATTTATTTGATGAACTGTTTTTAGTTACTAGTTACTATTTTACGTATTTTGGAAACTCAAAGTATTAAGATAAAGACTAATTCAGAGAAAACAATTTACTTATATAATGATATAAGAATAAGATATAAAATAAAATATATTTTAGTACTAAAAGTACTATATATTTTAGTATTAAATATTAAGAAAAGATAATAAACATTTATGATAAGCCTTTTAAACATTTGAAATGTCATTAAAATATGTTTAATAAAATTAATAGCAATTCTTATTATAGTTTTATTAAAATTATTATTACAAAATATAAGGTAGTTCAATATCATCAATAGCAAGATCGTTAAGCATTTCCTCCAAAGTGACTTGTGGACAACTAGAATCAGGTAATTCGTTAGTATCTACTGGAATTGGTTTCTTATGATCTCTGAAAATATTTATATTTTGTCTCATTTCTGGATCTTCTTCAATATCTTCCAAAAACTCAAAATAGTCACTAAAATAAATTACAATATAATTATAATCTTAATCTTTTAATAACTCTTACTATATTTCTAGCTTTAAACATTTAAAGAAACTTTTATATTTAAAGAAAAAATTAACTTACTTATTATCTGCAGTCATACTGTCATTATCTTGTAACATATGTTTTAATTTCCAAGCTCTCATCCGACGACGTGCTACTCTATCATATGTATAAACCTTCTTTGTTAGAATTATATCTGGTACTAGGTCTTTATTCAGCATGTCAAAATTCTCGTCGTTAATGTTACTTTCATTAAGAGCATACCTGAACATAAGAATTACCTTTTAATTATTTATTTACTTTCGAATTTGTTATTTAATGTTTAATTTTTTTTCCATACCCTAAAACAGTATCACCAGGTTTTAAGAGATGACCAAGATGAGTACGTGTATGAATCAAGTTATCATTTATTCCTAAATCACAACTTCTAACTACCCATACATCTGCTATTCCATGCTGAAAATAAAAAAATTACTTTAATTAAAAAATGAAGTAGAATATCATGAAAAAAAATTCTCTCTGACCTTTTTCTAACGATTATAATAATAATCTCTATATACTTAATTTTATAATTATTAGCTTGCTTTTATTATAAGATTTCATTTATAAATAAGTGTTTTTCTCTTGCAAGAACTATATTTGATAAAGAATATTAAGAATATTAAAATTATTTCATACGTACTTTATTTGAAATAGTTCCTTGTCCAGGAAAAAATTTTCTGTCCTTAAATTTAATTTGCTCAATATCCATTACTATGTATTCTATTAATTGTTTTGGATTACAAATACTATTAAAAGCATGTCTCCAGAAAAGTGTAGCATTTAATTCTGCAACTGAATAGATACATAACATGTCATGAATAAAATTTTAGTTAAATTAAGTTTTAAATGAATAAATATTAAATTTTAAAAAAGCACACCCACTTTGCCCAGTCGATACATCTATTAGATGTATATGATTTGTAATTTTATGTACCAAACAAATTGGATTTATTCCACCAAGTTGATGACTCAGTTTTCTTGAAAGACATACTACACTATCCTTTGATATTGGAACTATTTCCACACTATAGAATAAACCATAACATATTATATAAAAAGAAATTGTAATATATAAATAAAATTATATTGTATTGGTTTAAAGTAAATTAAATTTATTTTAACTTTTATATGATTTTATCATATTTTCACATTACTGTATAAAAAATAATTTTGATTCATGAAAAAATAGTTAAATAAAAATATAATATTTAAAATATTCCTGCTACAAAATGTAACACTTTTTTTTAAATCAATCTATTAATACACATAAATTTTACCTGTATGTAAATTTATAATTGTAGATATTACTATGAATATCATGTGATATTAGTTTTTTAGAATGATCATAACGACATGGTATAACACTTGAAAGGAAATCGACCAATTTGCGTGCGGTTGCTTCATTTGCAAAAAAGAAATCTAAACCCTCTGTAAAAATACATGATTATTTTAAGATTATTATTATTAGTAATTAAAAGATTAGAAATTTATTTTCTAAGATTTTTAAATAATTCAAAGTTATTACCATGAATAGGTTTTATGCCCAAAGTTTGTTCATGTGCCTTATATTTCAAAATTAATTGCTCTAAATAATAAAATGTCTTTTTATTTGTCGCTTTCTGTCGCACTTGTACCTATTACAAGTAAATTATTAGTTTCATTACAAAATAAGTGTAAAATGTAATAAATTATTCCTATTAAGAGATAATTAATATACAAGCTTTACCAAAGCACGCCAATAATCTTTTGCTTCTATTCGGTGACAATCATTACACATTTGATGATTCACGGTATATTCAACTACAAATATTTGTTGCAAGATTGCACCACTCATAACTTCAGCTTGTACTGTTAGTTTTACCTGAAGATATAATATAATAATGAAATAATTTTTTGGTACAATATTATTAAATAAAAAGTACCTTCAATCTCATAGAATGAGGTTCTGTCCATACAAATCCAGCATCAATTAATTTCACTCGATTTAAGCTTTTTAATTTTTTTAAACACAATGTAAGTAACTCCCTAGATTCTAATGCTGCATGAATCCATTCACCAGGTGGTTGTAAATATCTAAAGAAAATGTTAGTTTCTGAGTCTTATAATTAAATAAAGAAATATATGATAATATAAGATGTTTTCTTATTTCACGATTTTCTTGAGGAAGGTGATTGTAGAAATATAAAAAAAATTAAGTACTTAATGCTAGTCCCTTTGTGAAATCAGTGTTAGGCATCAATATTTTAGTATATTATAGCAGTATAAATTACATGTAGATGTAATAGGAAATATAGTTATAATACTATATTCTTAAAGCATTAACCTTAATGTGCGAGTCATTTAGATCACTTTATAATTTTGTTGAAATAAAAAAGATAACAGTAAAGTCACAATAAAGTTTTAATAAGTATTTAGAGATAATAAGTGTATATGAACTCAATCATCAACAATACTATAGTAATTCTTTATATTAAAAAGATTAAAAATTATTATTTAATAAGATAAAAAATATTAATGAATAGCATTATTTATAATATAAAATTATAAAAAATGTTTAAAATAATCAATGTTCGGCATACACAATTGAAGTTAAAAAAGCAGTTTTCAAATATGTAACAAATAAAATTATACATTTTAAATATTTACTGCAACTTTAAGACTTAAATATTTTTGATATTACGTGTATAAAATATTTGTCTATTTTATAAAATAATTATAGTACAACGTATAAATTATGTTATTACCTTTCACAGCCTTTACAAAAATGGATTGTTGCTTGTTTTGGAATGTTTTCAGTAACATCAACTTGAGTTCTTAAACATGCCACACACATATTTGCTGGATTTGGTTCAATATTAATACCGCAAATACAACATAATCTAGAAATTGTGTATTAATCACATTTTTAATCACATGAGATAACATTATGTAGTCATATATTATTTAAATATAAATAATACATTTAATATATAAATCATATTAAACAGCCTATTTTAATCATTTTCCAAAAGTCATAAATATGACGAAGTTTAGATTAAAAATTAAATTATAAAATTTATTTACTTTGTATAAATTGTTGTTAAATTTTATTGAGGTTATAGTTACTTACATCATAGATTCTTGTCGAATAGGTTCATTCAATACATCCATTATTTATGTTTATTTTTATACAATATTTTATGAATAATTTTGTTTAATTCAGTAGAATTAATTGAATTAAATTAAAAATATGGTATTAATAATACCATATACTATTTAATTGCAAACACGTGAAATTACTAACTTCAGGTTTAAAGCAGTTCATCTAGATAAATTATCATCTATTATAAACTTTCGATACTCATACAGTAAGAAATTATAATTTTAAGCCATTGTTTAATTGTCTGAATATATTATATAAAAAAATTGCAATAAATATATTATCTTTCATATAAATTGGTATTGCTATTACAATTTAAATAAAATTTAAAAAGAAAAATAAATAATATTTTAATATCAAATTTTCCCAAAAATCATATTTATATAATATTTGAATTTATAAATTTTGAATGTATATCATGTTTTAAAATAATTTATGATATTTCAAAATGTTTTTATAATAAATTTCAATAATTAAGTTCTAAAATTCTTCTTTTTCTTATTTTTACATTTATATTAATGAATGCAAAAATAAAATAAGTAGAATTTATATATTGTTTTAATTGAATTTTTTATTAATACATTTAGATTTGTATGAATTTAAAATATTTGAAATATACCATAATTTGAATAAAACATTACCAAAGTATCCTATCTAGTTTTCTAAAGTTTGTGATGTATTTCAAAAGGAGCTGCTTTCACTCACTATCTTATGATTGTAGTGTGTACGATCGAAAGATAAATGTTAGAGGTGAGAGTATGTTCATTTAATATCAGTTTCTTTTTTTATTTACTTCTCATTATTAATATATTTTTATTTTTGACAGATATATTATTATAAAAATGAGTAATCAATTTTGCTCTCATTTTTATGCATTCAAATAATTATTTGTAATTTTGTTGCAATATATTGAAGTTAATTAATGTAAATCAATTGACAAATATTAATACTGCAATAATATAGTATCATAATGTATGTATATCATATATGACATAATCTACAAATATTATATTTTTGATATCCAAGTTATTATTTATAAACATTTATGTTCTAATCAGTTTAATTAAGTTTTAGATTTGTTAATTATAATATAGTATAAAATGGCTCCAGTGCCTTTAGAGGGACATCAAACTCCTGTAACCAACAATATCCCACAGGAAGGAAATCGTGGTGGTTCTATTTCCCTTGGCATGCTTATTGACTTCATTATACAACGTACTTATCATGAACTCACAGTTTTAGCTGAATTGTAAGAAAATCTTCATATATTTTTTATTAATTAAATTACAATAAACTTAAATAAATATTTATATAATAAAGGTATTAAATAATAATAACATGAGAATAATAAAAGTTAACATATTGAATATAATTGAATATATATTTAATTATATATCATAAATATATTATAATATGTCTGATACATTATTAATAAATGTAGTAGATTATTAATATATCTTGATATAATTTAATATAAATTGATAAAAATCATATAAATATTTTTTTACACAAATTATATATTTACAGATTACCTCGGAAAACTGATATGGAACGTAAAATAGAAATTTATAACTTTTCAGCCAGAACTAGACAATTATACGTACGCTTATTAGCATTAGTTAAATGGGCTAACAGTGCTTCCAAAGTTGATAAATCTGCGGTATATTAAAAATTAATATATTTACATTTAATTATGATATTTAAAAATTTTTTAATAACTGGTATTATCGTTAAATGATTATTGACTAATGACATTTTTTTTTGATAGCACATAATGGCCTTTTTAGACAAGCAGTCACTGCTTTTTGTTGATACAGCTGATATGCTTGTTGCTGCAGTAGAGGTTCTTACAACTGGAACATATAGTCGTCTACCAGCATGCATAAGAGTAATTTTAATATAATACTATTTATGAAAGTGTTAGTAAATAATTTTTTAAATTATGAACTATTTATATAAATATATGTTCTTTTAATAGGAAAGAATTGTTCCTCCAGATCCAATTACACCAGCAGAGAAAAGAAGTACACTTCAAAGATTAAATCAAGTTATTCAACACAGATTAGTTACTGGAAATTTGCTTCCACAAATGCGCAATTTAAAGATTGAAGCAGGAAGAGTAACATTTCTTGTGGAACAAGAATTTTCAGTATCACTTACAGTAATGGGAGATGGTCCAGCAGTACCTTGGAGATTATTAGAATTGGAAATTTTAGTTTCAGACAGAGAAACAGGAGATGGAAAAGCTTTGGTGCATTCATTGCAAACTCGTTTCGTACATCAAGTATTATCATTTTTAATAAATCATTGTACTATTAAATTTGGTTTTTTTAAACTATGCAATATTAAGATAAATAATTTTAATTATAAGGTGGTCCAGTCGAGGTTGGCAGAAAGTTCAAATCCATTATCTGAAGTTTATCATATCTTACATTATTTTTGTCAGTCACTCCAATTAGAAGTACTGTACTCTCAGACATTACGATTAATACGAGACAGGCTCGATGATCATATTCATGTGGATGAATATACATCAGGAAAATGTCTTTCTGTCTCATACTGGAGAGAATTAACTAGTAAAGATCCTCGATCAGAGTTGGGATATAAATTAACAGTGCAGGTGGATCAACATGATCCTGCAAGACCTCTTGCAATAGTACATGTTCCATCCTTAGGTAGCAAAGAAAGTGAAATAGCAGATAGAGCAATTAGATCAGATCAATTATCAATGGAATGTCTGTTAGTGCATACAATATATGTACGTACTAGAAGTAGATTATTAGATTTGAAGCAGGAGCTGCAAACAATGTTGAAAGATGTTGAATGTACTTTAGCCGGTTCACCTGCAATTCTCTCTGTTCCAATTTTGCAACCTTGTTTAAGAGCAGAACATTTATTAGTTACTGTTGATACACATACTGGAATGTTGCAATGCCATGTACCTCAATATGAAGTTCCTTTGATTCCTGAATTAACTGCTGCTTTAAATGGTGATCATTCTCGTCTTCCAACTTTAATATCAGAACTTAGGTAATATTTTTTAAATTTTTGCTTCATTTAATTCCTTTCCACTTTTATTTTAATTTTTACTGCATCCTATTTTATTGGATATTACAGATTTTGGATAACACAAAGACGGTGTGAAAAAACACTACAACATCTTCCGGCAACTTCTCACGAACGTTTGCCAGTTCTTCTTCATCCTGATCATCCAATGTCGAAAATTAGTAGACATCGTATGTTTGTTCAACTTCACCGTCATCCTACAGTAATTTTAATAGTGGCATTTAAAGAAAAAGAAACTTCACCATGTGAAATTGAATGTTCATTTTATCTTGCTGTAGTAAAACATAGTTCTATAGAAGATGATCCTCATGATGATAGTATTGAGACGGAAATCCCCAAAATGTATTTGAAAGTTCAAAGTTTAATTGAATTTGATACTTTTGTTATAACTCATGGGCCTTTCACCAGTGTTGATAATGGTCAGTTCTTTAATGCATTATAATACTATAATGTAATAATAGTATTATATTTTTATTTAATAAAACAATGAATGAATATTGTATTTAATACATTACAGAAACACCTGAAACAAGTAGTGTTAAACGGAGAAGTACAGGACCTAGTGGAAGATCTGATGCCAGTATTACATTACAAAATAGAAGATCCAAACAACCTGCATATTTTATTCCAGAATTAGCACATGTAGTTGCACTTTGTGATGAAAGGATACCTTTTGTAACATTAGCACAAGAATTAACTAGAAGAGATATAGCTCATCAAGGACTTCAAGTAGAGGCAAATGCTACAGCATTAGTCTTAAAATTGGTTCAACTACCTGCTCCTTCTCCAGGAATAAGTACTAGTTGTGCCTGGTATGCTCTTCTTAAAAGATTACTCAGTGTTTCTATCAGAGTTCAGGGGAAAGGTATGGCTAAAACATGGATGGCTGAGTTTGTATTCTATGGTAGTCCTTTATCTAGCAGCCATCCAAAAGAACAAGGTAATTCAATAATGTTAAAGTATAAAATAAATAATATGTTCAAATATTCAAATGACCTATATGTAAGTAATTGATGTAATTTGTATTAGGATTACGAAGACCAGTATATTTTCAATACGAAATGGGTACAGCAGATACTGTATCACGCACAGTAGATGCATTGCTCAATGATTGGGCACAAATTGTTCATCTTTATTCTATTGTACATGATTTGGCAGAATATTTTAAAATGGGTATAGTTCGTAATTTTAATCAAAAATAATGTTAATTTAAAAGCTGCTTGTAATTCAAGTTATTAATTTCAATTTTGTATGTATTACAGAAAAATACAACCTACGCAATATGGTTAGTATAAAATCATACAACTATAGTAAATTAATTCTAACTTATGGCCCTAACCGTGGAGCTACTGTTACTGTACAATGGAGTACCAATGATAAAGCATTTAAATTGATTTTTGGAAAAAGTAAATATTACTTTTTAACTTATATCAATTAGACTGGGTGTTCTTTTCTTATTCAGTTCATATAATTTTCTAATAATTTTTGTTAATATGATAAAAAAGATTATCAATGAAAATTTATTATATTAAAGGCAATACAGAAATAAACATTCAGATCAATACAATCAGAATCATAAATGTTATCGATATAATATAAATAAATTGTCATTAGTAAATCACTAATTTTGTAATTAATGACTTATTATATATCAAAACTCAGTATACACTGGATTAATTTCATATATTTTTACTAATTTATAAAATTTTATTAATATGTAGGTCCAACTAGTACTACTACTAATGCTCATTCAATTATGAAAGAACAACTTGAGGCTCATTTGAACAGACATAGAAATTTAGCCCAACTTATACATATTCTTCATGAAACACTTCAACCTCTTACATCAATTAGCAAATTACCTACAATTCCACAACTTTGTGTTTATAATTCGGTATGATTATTAAATTACCTATTTCTCCTAAAATTTGTTCTATTTAATTTTTGTTTATTGAATATTGTATATATTGATATTATCATCTATTGTTATTATTTTATTATATCTTTTATAGAGACCTCAAGTACCAGTACAAACTTTCACTATTATGCCACAGTGTGTAACTCTAGTCAGAATTGCGTATCAAGGTATGTATTGTTTAGAACTTCGTCTACGAGGAAGTGGTTTAGTGAGCTTACGAGATGGAGCGTATAGCCGTTTTGATAGAAGTTACGTTGTAGATGAATTTACACCAACACAAGGTCTTAAGGTAATAATACCTAAATTTTATTTTTTATAAAATCTTTCAAAAAAATTATATATGGTTCTTATAAAATTTACTTTATACCTTATAATATAATATATTTTGTGTGATTTATTTATTTATTTTTATTGTTATTTGTTTTACTTGTACAGGCCTTTTTATCGAAATATGTGGATGAAAGTGCAGTTTCACGTAGAAGATCTCAATCAGAGGATGACAATCCTCCTTCTCCAGTGACAATGGATAGTGATGGTGGTAGTGGAAGTGGAAATGTAGGTTTTTTAAGTCACCATAGAAGTGGGCCTCAATCACCTGCACAACAAAGAGATGGATTAAGGTTTCATCCACCTTTAACTCCACCTTCTGGCAGTAACCCACACACTCCAGCTAGTCCACATACTGCTAATATATCACAGGTAGTTTTTATATTTATTTCAAAACTATATAAATCCTTAAGAAATTTTGTTCTTTTTATTGTTAATTTCCTTCAGACAAATCAACATCAAAGTTTTGGAAGTAGTCCAGCTACTTCTTTTAATTTGGCTTCACCACCATCATTACCACCAAATACACCTAATATGCTACCACATCCTTCACCAGGTTCTGGATTAGTTGCTAATAGTCCTCTAAATCCAATGCATGTTCCTAGTCCAGCTGGATTAATGCCAACATCTTCACCAGGGCCATGTAGTAATGTTCAAGTAGGACATTCTCCTGCAGGATCTTTCATGCAGACTGGTAAGAAATGGCTTTTACTTAAAAGTTTAAATTTTATTACAGTATAAGTTGCTTACAAATTATAGCAATAATTTACCAGTATTTGAATATAATATATGAAAAATATGTGTATACTATTCATTTTGTTTTAATATTATGTACTTATTTCATTAAATGTTTTTGTAATTAATATAAATTATAATATAATCTTATTTAGTGGGTTTATTTAGTGGAATGGACAAATAATAAATATTTATGATTAAAATGTCTAGAATAAATTTTTAATTTTTATTAACAAATAGTACAAATAATATAATTAAGACAAATAAATTTATAAGAAAAAAATGTTTATTTATTTAGGACACATAGATGGAAGTCCATTTCCATCTTCACAGAGTATGGCTTCTCCAGCAGCTTCTAATTGGCCAGGATCACCTAGTGTACCTAGACCATCTCCAGCACGTCCTGCACAGAGTCCAGGACATGCTGCCCTGCACAGTCCTCAAGCTTCGGATCATAAAGCTGGAACTCATATTTCAAGAGTACTTCCACAACGTTCGTGGGCAGGCGCTGTACCTACATTGCTAACTCACGAAGCTTTGGAATTGCTTTGTTGTCCTTCACCACACCCCTCTGGACTTCCTGGTCCTGATCTTTCACCACTTGAAAGATTTTTAGGATGTATTTATATGCGCAGACAATTTCAAAGATTTATACAAACTGATGATTGTGTACGAGTTTTATTTTTTACTTAATCTTGTATATTTTGGATGTATTATATATAAAGTTTTATATGAAATAATTTCTTTACAGTTAACAGCAATAAATAGTACAGAACCAGGAGTTGTACACTTTAAGGTAGAAAGTTTACAATGTCGCGTTGGTTTAAATCCACAACATTTGCAATCTCTTCATATAA